CTTAGTACAATGATCATCTGGATCAATGTGAAGCCATAGCTAATTATACATGCCTGGTGGACTAGTTTTCACATTCATGATACTGATGGGTTCACTGTTGTTTATGTGATGATCACTTCATTTTATTTCAGTGTTTTAAGCAGCTAGTAGTGACACTTACCAGCTGATTATTTGCTTTCAATGGATTATTGTCACTGAATTTATCAGTTGAATTCTCAGATTTAAACACAAATCAAGTATTTACAAAATGATCAGTGATTTGAATTTGACTAGTCAGCTAGTTAAAGCAATTTAAGACTACATACAAATCAAAGTAACGAGTAGGGCTAACTTGACCATAGCTAAACAGGGGAGGCAACAACTTAGTGTTATAATCTCTAGAATATTAGTCACTAGACTGAGGCAATATTTTGGGGACCTGGGTTCAAATTCAGCCGGAAAAAAAGTCTGAAATTAGGAGTCAAATGATGATGATGATCATGAAACTATTGTTGATTGTTGGAAAATTCCATCTGGTTCACTAATGTCCTTTAGGGAAGGAAACTGTTGTCCTTACCTGGTCTGGCCTACATGTGACTCCAGACCCACAGCAATATGGTTGACACTTAACTGCCCTCTGGGCAAATAGGTTTGGGAAATAAATGCTGGCCTAGCCAGTGATGCTCACATACCGTAAATCGATTATTTAAAAAAAAGACAAAGCAAGCTCTTGGTTTCTTTGGGACATACATATACATGTCTACAGAGACAGTATAAGATAGGACAATGGAGTGGAAGTTTTTCTTTCCAGCAATGCTTCATATCACAACTTGATTGAAAGCAATGTTATTCAAAATCTACAAGGAACCTCCATTTTCCTCAGGTGTGGCAATGTACAGAAAATTAAAGGGGCCAAACCCCCAAAGTTCCCGTGTGTATTCCTGGTGCATTTGGCCTCTCTACCACAAATTTACTATCTGTGTGATGCCAATTACATATGATTTCAGAATTAACAGCAACTTTTGTAACTATAAGTAACACACAAAAGTAAAATAGTATGAATGCTGGAAATAGTCAACAGTTCAGACAGCATCTGTGGAGAAAGAAACCAAATTAATGTCAATAAAAAACAAAAGAACTGCGGATGCTGTAAATCAGGAACAAAAATTGAAGTTGCTGGAAAAGCTCAGCAGGTCTGGCAGCATCTGTGAAGAAACTCTGATTTTTTCTTTACAGATGCTGCCAGACCTACTGAGCTTTTCCAGCAACTTCCGTTTATGTTCCAAATTAACATCAAGTCAGCGATCTTTCGCCAAATCTGAGAAAAGTCAAAAATGTACTAGGTTTTAAGAAAATGGAGGGTGGGGATGGTGGGTGGAGAAAGAACAAAAGATAAGATCTTGTCTTCCCAGTGACTGTTTAAATTTTCCTGGTTCTAATGCCTCCTGTCTTTACTCTCTATATCTCTATCCCACTAAGGTAGTCTGAGGGCTCTCCACTTTTCCTTGTTCATTTCCTACCACTAGCCTCCACTTAACAGAAAGTGTTGTCACACTTAACAACTTCCCATTTAACTCCACTCATCTGCTCCAATGAAACTGTATCAATATTGAGACTTGGATGGGTCCTCACTGTGCATCCCTTTTAGTGAGTGTGGGGAATGTTTCTTGCTCTCCATCTTTTTAAGCCTCCACCCCTTAACTCTTTTTCTGGTACACTAATAACAATAATTTTCTAGTCTCAGCCAGAACTGAAATGTTTCATCAATTTTATTTCCAATTTGCACCGTTGTCTTACCTTCGCATCGTCCAACTCGGACACTTTCCTTCCACAAATTCTCTGTCTCCATTTCTGATGATAGGCTATCAACAAATATCCACAATAAGCCCACAGCAAGTTCTACAACACTATCTCACACCCTGCATTTTTCATTACATTCTGCTAATTTCGTTGTCTCCGTCATGCCTGTTCAGATGTGACTCACTGGCATTTCTGATATGTGTTTATATTTCCTCAACAAAGTATTATCCACCCATCTTAATTGACACGATCCGTGACTGTCCCATTTCCCACATTTCAGCGCTTACCCATTCCCTACCTCCATTCCAGTATCAGGGTAGAGAACCTCTTATCCTCATCATCTGTGTCACGAGTTTCTGTATTTAATGAATCTTCTTTCACTACTTCTGCCACCTCCAGCATTATTACAGCAACAGATAAATCCCTTGCCATCCCCTCCCAAGGGGGATGCAGTGACCATTCTTCCATTACACACTGGTCCACTCTTTACCAATCCTGAACACCCTTTCGCCTTCCCAAGGCGCTTCCATGCAAATTCTGGAGATGCAGCACTCACCCTCTTATCTCCCATTCCTTTGTTCAAAGGCACTAAACACTTCTCCCAGATTCAGTGGTGACTTGTACGTATGTCCTTCATTTTACTGTACTCCATCCACCGCTCAAAATGTGACCTGCTGTATGATGAGTGATCATAAGCAGAATCAGGGTGAGGGATAAACAAGCCATGCCATTTCCCAGGACAGTGGCTGCCAAAAGGTGATTTAAAATGTCTAATATGAATGGGTGGGTTGGGTGAGGTATGAAGGTATGGTGGCAGATGCGTGGGATGGAATGTAGTTATATTAATAGGACAGCAGGTAGATAGGTGGCAGTTGGGTAAGGTTTTTGGGTAGAAGGTGGTAGATGAGTAGAGTCGAAGGTGGGTAGGGTAATCAAGTTAGGAGGGGTTGTCAGTTTTGGGGCTAGTTAGTCAAGGTGGTAGTTAGGCAGTGGGGAGTATTCTGATCAGGTCAGTGCGATAGTTGGGTGGTGGGACTTAGGTTGTTAGATCCTTTATGCTCCTGCTTTTCAAAAATTGTCTCAAAAGCCACCAAATTCTGATAACTGTGTATGAAACAGGTTTATTTTATCTTCCTGTTTCATTTGTCCTGGATTAATCTTAAACCTTCATCCTTTCTTGTTACCAATTTTCATCACTAAAAGTCTTGGGATATTCTTCAGTTCCTCTGTTTTCCATCTCTTTTCTGGTAAAAATATATTCCAAAATTAATATCACAGCTATCACTTCTAAATGTCAGTGTTATTCTGGAAAATCTTTTCTGGACTCTTTGAATGGCTGACATCCTTGCTGTAAGAGTTTGCACACACCAATGCCCTAAAAAAATTCAATAGCGCTTCATTGATTTTTATTCACTACCATTACAAATAGAACTCAGAATCCCTTGAGCCTTTGTTATACCATCCTCTGCTCAGATTCCCACCTTTACAAATCCATGCATCTGGCACCACTAGATTTGAGTTCATCATTCCTTCTAATACTCATAATTTATAATATATTTGCTCTCATTTTCTAACTATGATTTCCATTACCTTTCACGTAATATTTCTGCTTTTTTGTAGAAAGCCCATTATCCAATTATAGCACGGGAAGATCTCACAAATAGCAAGTTAGATAGATCACTAACTAATTTATTTTTGTGGTGTTAGCTAAAGGGTAAATGTGGGATAATGTGCTTTCACCTGAACAAGCAGACAGACTATGATTTAATATCACTTCTGGAAAATGGCACCTCCAAACAGTCCCTCAGTATGGTGCTTAAGTATCAATCAATATTTATGTTCTGAAATCTCTAGATTCATCATTTTATGTGCCTGTGGTAAGGGTGCTACAACCACTGAGCTAGACAGACCAAACAGAAGCTTTGAAAGTTGAGGAAGTTCTGGTTACAGCAAGAAAGGGAAATACAGATTGAAGCAACTGCATTTGATTTGTGATTTTGAGCCTACTTGGACTATGAACCTTTGGGGTGTGTTTCTATATTGAGTAGAATGTTGATGGAAAAAAGGCAAATAAATTGTCAGATTCCTTTAAACACATTAGTTAATGTAACCATTATACCCTTTTATCATGAGATAGCATTTAGGCTGGAGAGGGTGGGTGCAAAATAAGCATTGTAGATATTACGGAAATCTGCTAAAAGTGTTTAAATAGCAATTGCACTTCTCATTCTACAACCAGTCTTTTTATTATTGAGAAAATTAAGTGAGGAACCAAGAATGTATTATCAAAGAATAAAACTGACCAGGTTCAATCAAAGCATTCAAGCGGACTGTATGAATAAAAACAATGTGCAGGGTTAAGAGGAAAAGGGGAGAATGGCACTAAATCGTAATGCTGATCTGGAGAATTGATACAGACATGATGGGGGGAATGGCCTTCACCTGCACCATAACAATTCTGCGATTCTGCAAAGCAAGTCAAATTCTACTAATCAATGGACATTAGCTTGTGTTTTCATTATCTGTACAGTACCTTCTAAGTGGAAGGGAATACTGAAAAAAGGGAGCTCCACAGTTTTAATATTCTGGAAATAGGCAATGATACGTCATGACCAGTCATTAGTTACTCCACAAAAGAAAGACTTTTAATCTGCTTTTGGTTGTAAAAAATGTCCATGATGAGTCTCTGTTGTCGGTCGTATTACTGCTGTTTGCAGATTGTCAGTGTGAATGAACTGGTTCAGGTGCTAGTGGGTATTATTGAGGGTAGCAGGCCTTTCATGTTCTATTTTATTTTTACAGCGTGTATTCTTTAAAACAATCTTTTGTTTACATCATATCTTTTTGTAACTCAGTGTCCCTACATATTTTTCTGATTAGCTGCAGTGCTTGCTTGCCCACATGTATTAATTTTTTTTCTCTGTTAATGAGATGAGTAGGTTTATTCATCAGTGTATTGCTAATTAGTAAGAGGCTGTCTTCCTCCATGCTGACATTCTGTTTATTATAACAGCTGGGCAAATTGGAACATTTTCTGCACAGATTGTTGTACAGTTCCAATATGTTTATAGGTGACAGACTCTTTGGTAACAGATGGTAAATTTAAGGCTTGTTGGCAATCAGCAGGTTTTTGCTAATGACTTAATTACCTATGCAAATTATCTCATTAGTATGTGCATTGTTATCTCTCTTTAAAAAAACTCTACCTAAATTAATTACAGTAATCAAGCAGTGGAACAAACACTAGATTGCTGGTGGCTGGAGAATTGAACGTCTTGCCAACTTTGGGAACAAGCTGATGGATTGCACAAATAAACCTGTTCAGCAGTTAATCATTCTCAGAGATGCAGAATTTCACTCCTGGACATTTGTAGCAGTTCAGAAGGTTAATACCCTATCATTCTTACACCCTCACCTCCATGCCAGCCTTGTAATCACTAGTTAGTGTATTTACTTTTTTATTTTAACCTTCAAAATGCACATTAATGCAGGAATGAGAATCCATTTATTGTTGTTAAATGTTTTTTGCTGAAAGGGAGAAATTATTTATGTTGTAAAGGGTTTTATGTATTACTGATTCCTTTTGCTTATTGAGTACTACGTTTGTGGGTGGCCTTTTCTTTCCTTGGGCAATATAAAACTAATTTCTCAGTATTTTATTCCATTCCATCATTCCACATTATACCAGTGCACAGTGCCATGCATGGTATAATCCCATAATCCTGCACTAGTGACTTACAAATTTCAGATATGGGATCATGGACTTGTATTGAATGAAGGAGGCAAGGCACTGGCTGGCAATGAATAATGATGAACTGAATGATGAATCACACTTTGTACTCTTACAAAAATCATAATTCTCAAGTTTTGACTGGCACAAGTATGGATGAGAGTGGATTATTAGCCAGAAACTTATCTGGAGAAGGCATTAAGATAGGAGGAGGAACAATGAAACATTTTTTAAAAATGTTATATCTGTATTGTTACAGTCACATCATTGTAGATCAACAATTTTTCCTGCTGTTTATAAATTTAAAATTTTGATGGTACGATCTTTGACGAAACTATCTACTCAGAATCCCCATATCCTTTAAATTATTTTTGTTTTATAATACCAATGCATTTCCCATTTCAATAATTACAAAATGTCCCTATCTTCTCCATTTAATGATAACTTTGTCTTCCTAATTAATTGCCAGTTTTCCACTTGATTCTCACTACATTTTTGAGATTCCTTTTCGTCTTTAATCACCTTTGAGCTCCTGATTTAAAATCTTTCAGTAAAGAATCAGAATTTTATTTACTGGAGAGTGGAAAGGGTGCAAGATTTCCTGAAAATGTGGAAGAGAAATGTGGCTGGAGAAACTGGATCCTTTCAGAAACTTACTGGCAGGACCTCAATTCTTTTTTTGGATTTGTTTCTCACATGGCAGCCAACCCAACTGACAGTCTGCCTGGTAGCTGGGAGGAGAAATCATTGGCAGTGGGACAGTGAGTAACTGAGATGGGAAGGTTAACTATGGTGGCAGGTGGGTCAGGAGGGAGAATCAACATCACCACAGAGGAAAGCAAGGAGAGGATTGAATATCACGGCAGAAGGTGATGAAACTGGTACAGAGATAGTAGGAACTGCAGATGCTGGAGAATCTGAGATAACAAGGTGTAGAGCT